TTGTTTTGAGCTTCATGACTGTTTTCGTCTACCTTCTTTCAATAATCTGTTCGTTTGATCCCTGATAATTAGAGCAATAAGAAATCAGGTTTTGGAGGGACAAAATCTTTTTCAGACTCCACTGGATCACGAACATGCCTTACAAATAATTTTGCCTTGTTGTCGCATCGTAAGCTTGTTGTGAGATGAAGATGATTAGCTCATTTAAGAACTCATCCAAAGAGACCCATAATCTTTTACTGAACAAGCCTTTCTCTAATCGAGCGCGTCAGCCTTTTGTCATGTGGTGAGGAACCGTTTTTAAATCCATCGTGTGACTTATCATTCTTCCTCGGAAGCTTCCAACAACTGCTATCAGAACATTTATAGTGTAAAAAGTAGGACTTTATATGTAAGGGCAGTATACATTCCACTTAAGCGTGTTATGACGTATATAGCAAATTATGTACTATATTGAAGTGGTTCTATAGCCTCAAAAGCTTCAGTAGACTTTCCAATCGCAAATGCTTCGCTCAGGTTGGATCTTGTGGTGGTTCCCAATCTCTTACGTCAATAACAGTTCGGTTTGTCGAACGCTTCTTCTTGCCACCGTACCATCCGTCTTTGTACTTGGTGAGTTGTTGAAATATGTTTGTGCAGACACAAAAAAAGAGAGTAAAAGAATCACAAGAATCACAATAGGAACCATATATATTTATATGGCTTGTACTCAGCTCGTTGACGGCTTTTTTTGCTACTATCAATCCTAGCTAAGCCCCTTTCTTCAAGTGGGCGAATGAGACTTTCATAAGTATCCGTCGGTGGAAACGGTGAAAATGTAGTTGGGGGGGGGGGGGGGGGGCNGAAATGAACTTGGTGAAACGTGTTAGGCCGTGTCATGTCAGGGACATGCTAGGTATAACTAAGCTTTCAAAGGGAGGGAGCACCGCGGTGAGCAGGTTTTCTTTCTTTTTTCTTCCTTTTCGCACGAGGTAATCATTTCATCCACCCGGGTGTGCCTACCCTGCTTAGGCTCAGTTTAAAAACTAATTTACTTGTCTAGAACCGCAATAAAGCGCAAAAATGGTCGGTGCCCATCCTCCTCTTCGCCTCTGATACATGCTGGTATAACAAGGATTAAACGTTGGACTGAGTTAATTTCTTGATATACTGACCTTTGGATGGGTGGTCCTCCAACTACATTTTCACCGTATTCGTCTATCTACCTGTCTATTTCACGAAGACCGTCTAAAAGAATGAAAAAAGGTAATATTTAGAAATTGCACAGAATGAAAATGCTGTGAAAATGGCTGTGTACATAGCATACAGATTCGCAAACCTGGAGCTGAAGAGCTTGTCAGCATTACATGTGATAACATGAAATGTTTCAAATCCTCACAATTCTGGAAAATCACTACCTCTGTAAAAAAGGGCCTTGAGCTACCAAATAAGGACAATTGTAGTGATGGTGCAGAGGCTTCCGGAGTAAACCGAAATGTCACGTTGTTCCGTTTGAAATTTGAGTTCCGTTCGAGTAAGCTATGTAAGTCTAGATCCGGTACCCCTTAGAATGAGGTGTACTCTGTTCGAAAAGCCATTGTCACTTTACCCTAAGCTTCTACATGTGTATATTGCATATTATTGCGGGTAATTTAGCTCACTCACCCGTTACTGTACTGCACTGCTTTCTACCAGTTTTACCTGTGCGCGACAACAAGCGATAGCACGAATCCCGAAAAGGAACTGCAGTGTAGTTCGAGTAATCCGGGTTTGCTCTTTAGCTTATCTAGGCAGTATGATGGCTATGACCAAGAAGTTAAATTCTCTTTCGGCTAGTTATTAGGTTAATGCATAATTATTGCGGATTTTTTCGCGGCTTCTTTCCTCTTGATATAATTTAGACACTGAGTTTGGGCTTTTATAGAAATGATCTCCATGATTTCCTTTCCAAAGTTTGTCCAGGAAACCATCCGCAAATTCGCAAAATTATGCTCCGAATCTCTTCTGAATCTACCATATTCACCGGCAGAAACTTTTATGGATTACCAATCAACAGTTCTGTGAAAAACTGGCTAGGGAATAGAAGCTACGACGATTTGGATGACTTGATGGCTGATGCCAGAGCGTGGCCCACCTCCAAGGATCAAAACTTCTTCGCCTTTGGTATCCGACTACCTGGCCAATGGGAAGCTATGCTTGCCGTGGATGGTGGATAAGTTCCGGGGTAATTATTTGAACATGATTTTGTCCAGTATTTCTATCATTTCTTCGGACAAAATTTGTTGCAAAAAATCCGCAATAGTTATGCATCAACCTAATACTTTGTCAATGTCACAGTCATCCTAGTATTCGAGAGTCCGGCGGAAGGAGTATCGTCGTTTACGATTCTCATTTCTCGCTGCGCTCACCATCTGATACGAAGTTCTGTGTCAGGAATTCCCTTGAGTGATGCGGGCAGGGGGTCAAGGGGCCTGCCAAAATGTGCGGTCCACACTTTACCTCTGGCAAGGGCAAGGGCAGCAACCATATACCTACTATTAATAATGCAATCATAATGCATATGTACATATAATATAATATATGCATACTAGCTCCAACAGCACAATCGGTATGAAGACCTGGCCTATGATTACGCTGTCTCCAATTCCATTGCCACTCATATGATATCGTATGGTATGCACCTGCTCTGATTCATTGGTAATCGACGCTATTAGCGCTATAAGTTTTCGCAAACGTTTATTAAGCTTCACAATACTTAGTAGGTAGGTTCTTGTTACCATTCGGATGACTGTTTTTTGGAAACGTGACTTGATTCCACTATTCCTGCCTAGGAGAATTCCCCGTTCTCTGTAAAAATAAGAGCAGCCAGTAGATTTTGATTGTTGGACACCAGTGTCTTAGGAACAGTCACTTTTTATAGCATTTTCTTCAGCAGTCAAATTTGCTGCAAATAATAAACAGATCCATCGGTTCTTACCAGCTTTTAGCAGGCGGAGAGATAGCATTTTTGCATGAGTTTCCTTCGCTTTTGCTTTAAACGTAATGTAAAGTGTACTTTAAGGAGGAAGCACGCTAGGCTTTCTAAGTGGTGGAATTGCGGCCACCGTGCTAATGTGTTTCGTAGCTGCAAATCGATGGAAAACTGACAGCGATTATAAGGTTTGTGTGGTTTGTGCTATGATGCTGTGATATCAATTGTTTCGAGCATTTAAAGAAGTTTATACAGATTGTGTACGAAGAAAAGGCATTCGAACTACTCTGGAATCTCTTTTTTATGCCGTTGCTCTTTGCATTAATCGGCATGAAGCTTGACTTTTCAATGGTGATGACATAAGAGCTAGTTCCATTTCATAACCAAGACCTTACAATCCTGATACAGATGACATGGCCAACTATACTGACCGGCTGTGCGCTAATCGTCATCGGAGCAATGGCTAGATTCTTATCGGGAATCGCATTTTCCTGCTGCTCTGAGTTCAATATGAAGGAACAAATAGTTCTTGCGCTATCACTTCTCCCGAAAGCTACCGTTCAGGTGAGTCCTTGGTTTGGAAATCTTTACAGTCGAAAATTCATGGTCGCACAGACAGTCCACACACTCAGTTATTAATCGGGTGGGGTAGCGGGTAAAATTTCGCGCATAAATTGTGACCATGGTTCAGTTTCTTTCCTGCAGTACAATTGTAATCCAACTGAAGTTGCAAACTTGCATATAAAGCCCTGGAAATTATGGGCGCATGTTCGGTTTTAGGAACGTTAGAACGAGAAAAGCACTTTTCTCGTGGCAAGAACCCAAAGGATTGAGACACTGTGATAGTGTTGAGGGCAGAGGTCGCCAGATTTGAGTACCGTTTCAAGTCCAGGGACAGAAGGGAATAGTGCATCGAAGGCCAGAGAAGCGGCTAAATTCATAGAAATACGAAGTAAACACAAAGACTTCTTCGAATTACTAGGTTTATGCAAACTCCTAAGACACTCGCATACGCATTTTAGACAATTTTGCAGTCCTTTGACGCTCTCATTCACTTGACAGCATAATCATCATCACTGTCAATGACATCAATAAATCGAGCGGTAGTCAGCTTCCTCCTTGGAACGAAGAGTTCAGTAAATCGAAAGAGTCAGCAACAGCATATTCAGAGTCACGAAAAGAGGTGAAATTCTTCCTGGCCAGGAACGGTTGAGGTGTCCGAAAAATGTGATAGTCACATCGGGAGAGGTCAGGGTGAGGGAGAATTCAGAGCGATATTTCAACCACGTTCCTATACTTTTGACTGCGGAGTCTTCGTGATGTCAGGCCGAGCTATTTTTTGCGAAGATCGACAAGAGCTTTTGTCGGTCCCTTCTACTTGCTCGCATGAGCGAGTTTCTTAGCTCATCCCGGATGTCCGGTCTTGAGAAGGCAACTCGAGGTAAAACATTATCTTCGACTCATCAGATCAGTACAGTAAAACCTTTCTTGTTCGCTGTTCTGAATACCGCTGCACAAGACTGCACTTTTTCCATCGGAGAGAGACAACGACCTTGTTGTTGTTGTCAAAAGAAATTTAAGTCCATTATCCCATGCGTGGATTGGTTCCTGCAAGAGCTCATCGGAACGGAGGCGGGATGAGCGTCAGGCTGATGTGACGCCGGCTGACGAAAATAATCGGCAAGATGGTAAGAGGGAAATTCGGAATTGTGGCAACAAAAAACTTTATGAACGAGAAAGACTGACACGCGTCAAGATTTATTAGCAGATTTCTGCTGCTGAAAATCGCTTTCAAATAGATCAGGATTGCATGCAACTTTAAGTGTACTGATACTTCTTCATAATTCTTGTTCTACTTTCACACGCTAATCAGTCTCGATGGTGCTGTCTTATGCTTTTCTCCAGCCATTTTTCATGTTTTTGCGGGTTTTCTTTGTATACTTTGTATTCTGTGCCTTTGTACTCTTGTTGACACGTCATTGATACCTCAGTATCATTGAATTGTCCTTTTAAGTGACAGGAACATTCACCTATCCCGCAGTGGAAATTTGACTTACTTGTTACGAGACTCAATTTAACGCGCAAACCGTGTGCTTGATAGATGATATTTTTTGATATTTGATATGATATTTTTTAGATGGTCACTCCGCATTTTTCAATAGGTCTTATGCTTTGGGTGTGATATGGGAGCTCTAGGATATTTCTTTCTATTACTTGGAAGATTTTTTCTGAAATGAATTCTGAGAGTAAACAAATCCATTTATTCCGAAAACAATGCGATCTCATTAGTTAGGGTTATGGGTCAATGCGATCTCATTAGTTAGGGTTATGGGTAAGAATCGTACTCGGTATAAACCCGTGTACGTCGCAGATTAGTGATAGTCTTAGCTTGTTCTGATAAGCATTCGAGACGGCTCCGCCCACTTGGAAATTTTCCGCCAACACATTCTGGAAAAAATCGTCAAATTTGCTGCTCCTGCCTCGTGCCGGATAGTTATTGCAGCTAGTACTCAGTGAGGCCGACACACTTGAAAAGCCTTCTGAGAAAGTCCACAGACTGAAACTAATATTTTGTAGATAGTAGATCAGTTCATGAACTCCCACCGTTTGAATGTCAAAAAGAGTCCGCTTTCTCAAGAACGAAAAGGTTCGTAACAACCGTATATTAAACACTATATATATAATATATCGAACATAGAAGTTGAAGTGTAAGTGAGTTAGTTCGTAAGCTTGCACATTATACTACTTGACAAATGCGTTTCATCTGTTCGTAACAGATAGATAAATTAAGACCGATCCAGGCTTGTCGTGATGGCACATCCAATAGCAGCTGCCCGATCGTCTTATCGTCTTCCCGTGAGCTAGCGATTGCTTACAAATTTTCGGACAACAGTTTCTGATGGAAGTTTGTTTTTCTGTTCCCAACGTAGTTTTTTGGCAAGTTTTGTTTGGCAGATCAAAGATTACAAGGATACTCTCAAACAAACAGCGTTGAAAAAAGCTTTCATGTTTCCTCTCAACTGCACCTAGCTCAAGGAACAGCACCCAGCCTACATCTATATCTGGGGTGTAATGCAATTCACGCGCCAACATGAGTCACCTCGTGTGAAGGATGTAGTCTACGGGGCATTGTGCCGTGCACGAGACGCATTATAACACAATCCTACCTTCATAATGATAGAAATAAAAAAATTTATAGAAGATAAGTAAAAAAATGATCAATTGTGCACGTTCACAAGAAGATTGTGTTTATTAGGATTGAAACATATCGCAGTTGCCCTTATTCAGATCGTTCGACAAATAAATTGTCGTCTTATAAAGTTAATCCTTAATCTCAAAGGGACTCATTGCCATAGTAAAGAGATTTCCACTACTTTATGGTGGTCCATCTCAACTGAAGGTTACCGAAACGATTGCAGCGAAACACGTACGTAACCGCCGCGCCATGCGTTGCGTGCTGCGAGCGCGAAGTGCTTAGATAGGGTCACGCGTGAATCGCACGCCCCCCTATTTCTGCGGTGGGTAGGTTCAAAAACATGTCGGCTGTGGAGCTCATAGGGAGCATAATGGAACACTGTCAGGATGCGGTCATCGGCAACAAACTTGTTGCTCTTCCGGAATAAATTTGTACAAAATTCCACGAATATTTCGAGAGTGATACAGTCGTAGCACCGTCACTTTCGATGTTGACGAAATGGAAGGTGCTGCTAACGTTTCGCCGCGTCAGAGGGATCTGGAATTCAAGGTGTATGTAGCACTGTATTAGATGCACTGGATGTCGAATTTTGGCCAAATGAGGTATATGGGATGGGCGCCAGTGTCTCGTCAGGGCGGTTCTGAATACCAAGACCCTTGCGCCGTCTAGTTCATGCGCGCTTACTTCGTGATGCTTGCTGTTCAATGTCCTCATCCGCAGAAGCATGACCGAAGATGACAGAAAACGTGAGAGGATAAATGGAATCGGTTTTTACGGATTCCTCTTCCTCGCAGTCGATGACGCGGCTGTCGTAGTAACATTTGAAGGTGTGGAGGGGAAGTCCTTGATCAAACTCAGTTCTCTCCTAAATGGTGACCACGTTATGTCGCATTTGTTGAGAGATCAAAGTCTCGAACATATGATAATAACTTAATTCGGGAGGAGTATGAAGGGCGTTCCGCTGCATTGAAGGTATGATACCCCCTTTCTGAAGGCCTGTGTAAAAGTTTCTCAATTATTTGTGCTCAGACTGAGCTGTACTCTTATTCGGCCTGCAGGGGCCTGGAAATTAATCTTGAAATATCTTCCCAGTGTTGTACATGAATCAGGAAGATTTACGCAGATACTGAACATAAAGCTTCGCCTAGAATCCCAATTCAGTTCCTGCAAATCTTTCGGACAGGCTTCATGAAAAAATCTAGAGAGGATTCGGTCACTGCCGTCATGGCAATTATGTCATACCTGCGCCTTTTCCTGCCAATTGAATTTTTTGTAACTTGTTTCTTGTATGACTGCAATCATGTTGGATGCTTTTTCTTTTTTCAATAACTTTTCATGTTTACCTTGAAGCAAAATCATGGAAGGGCAGCGTACACAGAAAATTTCCCAGAGCCTCACATTCATGACCACGGCAGTATAACCAGAGTATATAGTGGAGCATTATGAAGTAACAGCAACATATAAATACTCTGGAAATTTTCAATGAAAGTTGTGTTTTTGGAAAACTAGTGTGGTCGACTCTCCTTCATGCCATCTCATCGGGAACAATCTGGAAATTTCTTTAGAGAGACCCATTTCATCTTGCTGAGTGACTATGCTCTAGGCGACCAAGCAAATGAATTTGATCGAACAGGGAACAGATCTTGGCGGACTTGAGAATGTTGCAGAAAAAACTGCTCTTCCGAAAATCGGCAATCAGTCAAATCTTGTCCTATTATCGTTTTCAAGTGTCTGGTGCGATAGCGCATCTGTCGCAAAGTGCTTCAGCTTCACAATCATTGGTTACCAACATAATCTCATATCGAGGTTCAGTGCGTAGCGAACTCACTCACAAAATGCAGAATGCAAGCATCGGAAAATATATGGGTGGATGTCTCGGTTCTCGATGCTTCCATTGTTTTCAGTTTCAAATCTTAACCTATCATCAAATACAACTCATTTCAGGCAGCTCTCGCTCCTGCTATTACGGTATATGCTGCTGGAAAGGAAGGATACGAGAGCGAGGCCCTCATGGTAGTGCATAATTATAGCGACACATTTGAATATTTTGCCTTAGCATCATATGCTGCTTTTCGTATTGCGTCGCAAAATATGTCATTTGTGCATGTTGTTTGGATCGATTGCTTGATGTGGAGGATTTTCCAGGCTCAACTGTCATGCATTATAACAATTCTGCTCACTGCTCCTTTGTGCCATTATCTTCTCTCGAAGGCAGCTCCTCTACTTCTGTCAAATGCTCGTGTTGTGGACGCTGTAAGTATACTTTCTTATTGCTCAAATTAAAGAGAAGACAGTGAGTGCGTGATTACTCAATCTCGAATTTATGTTGATTTTGCCATCATCGAAAAATTTGAATTGGACACGAAGAAGAAAAAACGCTCATTACCCGTTAGATTACCAAGTACTTGTAGTTGCTAATGACCCAGGAAGATATTGATGATAAAATCACTGGCGCATTCTCGAAACATAAAGGCTCACTCTAGGGGGTCTAAATATGGTTACAACATTATGGAAGTCTAAAATTCTATTGCTTAGAGAGTTCTTCAAAATCTGCACCTTCCCTCATGTTTGCGATACACGTTAGCTCAGACATCTGCTTTGGCGCTCTCAATTCGTCAGTTCTCGGAAAATTGTTAAGCCTCGCGATTATATAGCAACCACTCCACTTTGTACGCATCTAGTAACCACTCTTCCGGCATCACACTTCGTTTTGGCATTTCTCGCATGAGAGTCTCCTGTTTCTCGATGCGTGGATAGGTCAACGATAAACCTTGAAACGGTCGCCTTTTTCCTTCCAGCTACGACCACTTTTTCGGATACAATTGCTCGGGAATGTTTACGCTACGAAACCTGCAGAACAACTGTAAAACGAATATCGAATTGAAGTATTTTCTTATTCGATGAAAAAGAGTCCTCTACGAGTAAAAGTATCCAGACAGGTTCCGAAGCCTTATAAGCTTTTCGGAAGAACAAGTTGGAGCCGTGTCTTACATGCCCGCGGCACACGCCTTCTTACCACGAAGATTTTTTCAACGTCAAAGAGATGTTCAAACCACAGAGTACACGCACACTTCACTACAAGGCCGATGAGAAGATTCAAATCGTTTCTTGTGACCACTTTCCCTTTTCCACGATGGTTGCAGCTGGAATCTGTACCATTAGATCTGCTGCTTACTGTGTTGAGAAGATTATGAAAAGTGATCGGAACCTCTCCATAAGGGACAATTCAAGAAGGCGTTGCTGAGACAAAGAATATCAGAGGTACGACATGGAGTCTTCAGCGCACTTGCTCACGATTGGGAACAGTCGAGAGTGCTGCCGAGAAAAGGCTCTGGCCCGCAATCCAATGAGTCGGTGGGTATATTACCGGGGAGAGACCCCTGCGCTCCAAAATGCACCACTATTGTTGCCTCTAAGAAATAGTTGAAAAACCTGGACTGGAGTTTTTCAAGAAACTCTGCGTGTGACCGACGATGAGTAGCCGAAGCATTTACGAGCTGTAATCAGTGCAGAAGACAGTTATATCAGATGATGCGTTCATTTGGCTGATGCAATGCATACATAGTGAACACTTCACATAAATACACCATTTATCAATATCCATTACGGATTCTGCACAGCAATTATTTTGTTACTATATTTATAACCCACCCTCAAATGACTACCTGCTCCAATCTGCGAATAGCTCTTATCTTTCTATTGCCTGTAGACACCTCAGTTTCTCTCTTTAACTTCTCATTGAAATTGATCCATGACCTTTTGGCAAGAAGGACCAGCAATGTATTTTTATATTTTGCGCTGCATACAAATTTGCCGGATAAGTTGAACATATTTATATCCCTGTCCTTGTTGTTATAAATTTATCAGATCCACACGAATTTGATTCTATTTCCTAATATTATTCAGACCAAGAGCGCTCTTAATGGCGGTCAACATGCCACAAAAGTAGCGAATCATTTCGAGGAAATCGTTGTAACCACGAATCGTATCGAGACGGACCTTCGATTCTAGCTATCACATAACTGAGTTAATGTGCGTTTTGTCGAAATATGAGTTGCTAGGATTTCGACAACTGTCCTTTTTGCAGGCTCTGCTCAGGGAGCTCATTCGCTTCTGCCGGTATGCCCTGCCACTTCTCCGTTTGTCATTAATTGAATCTTTTCATTCACATGAGCTCCTACTATTTGCCCAGGTTGTTCACGAATGCGGGAAAATTGATCAATTTCAGAAGTGGAACTCAGTGTTTTAGTATACCATCACTCACAACAGAACACTAGAGTTCATTTACATTCCTTTTCTGTTTTTTTCATTACAACTAGTCCTAACGGTGGGCAGAATCCTCGACGTTGATTGCTCTCTTTTTTGCTACCTACCATACGTATTATAGGGTTTTCACCAGAGCTGCTATTGCTCTCAGTATGTCGTTCTAGAGAACGCTTGAATTTTTCAATCAGCGAATTTTTCAATTCATAAGTCGTTTTTCATTTTCTTCACAAAAACTGACAATCTTCACTACAATATTATTGAACCGGTGCAAAGCTTTACAGTCAGCGCCGAATATTTTGGCCCCTGGCTTTCAACACTTGATGACTGCAGAATCACTTCTTTTTCTATGCCTTAAGAAGATGAACATAAGTATGTACTTACTTCAGTCGATGTTTGTTCTCAATAAAAAATGTTCTTTATGCGATTTGAGCTAGATGGAAATACTATTTTGATGATTCTGACCACACGTGAAGTACATCTCCTTGCAGCGAAAAGGCATTGCTACTAAATGGACTAATAATTGGAGGGTGGAGCCTTCAATAATCGCAACCGAGTCTCGTGAATTAGGAAATTTTAGATGATGGACTTTCGATGATTCTAGTTTAGGAAGGCTGAATTAACGATTCTTCGGTTTTGGGGTTGTTTTTCTTTGGCGCGCCCTCCGGTTGGAGCGACGCAAAGCATTTTCAGAAGGCAAATCACCTGATGAAGACATGGGTGATGGAACCTCTGCAATTTCTCTCGCTAAGGCTAGGACGTAAGGGTGTAGGTTTCGATTTTGCGTGTCCCTAGAGATATGCACAAGCGATCCTCGAATTTTTGAGGTTTCGATTCGAAAAGCAGAGGACATCCTGGTTTCTGATTTTATGGCCTTTTATAAGTTTTTTTTCGATCCCCCTCTCCACTTATGTGGGATTTCGTCTCACCATCAAAGTGTCAAAGTTTTGCTGCTATTATAACTATTGCCAAAGAAGCGTATGGAAACAGTTGCTCATGCCTTATATAACCTCTTATCACCTTATCAGCTGTAATAAATTCTCTCTCTAAGTGTCTACAGGATGTCCCACAATTATAGACGCGTATCTGTCATGAATCAAGAGCTTCCTAGCTAAGAATGGCAGTAGGCTCGCTATGAACACCTACTGAGTGAAAAACGGTTTTTTCTCGTCGTCCTGACAATACAGTGTTTCTCCACCTCGAAGGGACAGGGAGAAGGTCGCCTGCGACTTCTACTCTGATCTCTCCGGCAGGCACGCGTACCTACTTATCTAACATCTTCGAATTGACGGATATGCCTTTTTTCTGTTCACCCTTTGGAGATCCAACATGTTGTCAGCCAATAAAGATTTGTACAGCGCCCAGTCCCAGTAGTATCAAACAAGAACATCTAAAAAGTCCTCTGTCAGATTTCGTCAGAACTCTAACTGGGCTTTTCACGCGGTAACTGTGAGGATGCAAAGTTCTCACATCGTGAAAACTGGCAAGATCGTATGTTGCTGTATAAGAAGTTGGCAACTATGGTCCAATCTATCAACAAACTTTTCCCACGCGTCACTCATGATAGGAGTGGCAGAATATTAGATGAAGGACAGCCATGCGAGCAAGCAGGGTTTCGGAGAGACTTCAGTACGATCACATCAATGCTGGCACAAGACTTAGCGAAGTATCGCGAGGATGCAAAATGCCGTTACATTTGGCGTTCCTCGATTTGAAGAAATTTTTTGATACTCTTCTCTCTTCTCATTCGGAGATACACTGTGAAGTAATCTCCATGTTCACCTTCCTTGGAACCTGGGCATTTGTTCTATGATTAAAAAATGCTTCTGTACCAAACAGGTTTTTTGATGATGGAACATTTATTACGCCTGACGTTTCGACCGTTTCGACCAATTCGTCGTTACCGAAGGCGACAGCTCCATCAACACCGAACAGTTGCCCAGCTTTAGAGATGATTGAGCAAAAAAATCAAAAAAGAAGTAGGAAAAGAATGAGACAAGCGTGCTCAAAATGGCGCTTATTTTTCGTACAAATTCATGACTTGTTTCTAAAAAAGCCTGAAGTTGGGAAAAATATTGCAGTAATGAGCAATGTTTGTGGTGTGCTTGACCCGCATAAGCTCAGCGGAATCTCCGCTTACTTCAGGCATTGCGTGCCAAGTGCAATTTGCTCTTTGCAGGACTTCGTGACTTACTTAGAAAACCGTCGTTCAAATAAAAAAGGAGGCTCATTCGTGGTATGCGATTATTTATTCTACTGCTGATATTAAGCCAGATGATTGTGCCTGATCCTTTTGATGACTGCTGAGAATAATTGATTAGAACAGAATAGAGCCGAATAGTCGAATAGTAGGAATACAGCCGAATACTATTACTGTAGGAGGCGGCCAATTAGCTTATTGGTTTTTCACTAATGTTGCTCCAGTGCTAAAGTGGTGAACGGCAATTAGATTAGATAGTCAGCCTAGCGAGGGGCTGAGGCTGACCGTGCTTCTCTCTACAGCCCCTATTGTGCCCTATCCAGAAGGTTTTTCGACTTTATTCCGGCACATATGGAATCAGAGGATGTCCCGAATTCATACCATGTGCAAATCTCCGAAACCATTTTTATCATGAACCGTGCCTTTAAACATCAGTTTACGAAGCCGAACTGTTATACCATAAACTATATCGATCAACAAGCCATCGTTATAGTAAAGGAGCGGAGTGGCCGATGAACGAGAACAAAGCACTTCAGCTTTCGGAAGTAAGTCCGATTAGAGAAGAATAACAGCCGAAAACTGCTCTGATTTGTCTGAGCGCATTCGCAAATTTGAATAATCTTGAAACAGGAAACTTCCAAATCTCCCTTTCAATCTCTGAATATATCCCTCAGATCTCAAACAGTTACGGAATAGGTCCACTAGTACTCTAGACTTATTCAGAAAATTCCTGCTATCGCAAATAACACGTTGATCTCTTTTATGGCGAAGAAGCAGAGTAAAGGAGGCACTCGTTTTTCAAAGATCCTACTACGTATAATTCGCTAGGTGTGTCTGTTGGTTTGTCGGTGATTTGTGTGTGTTTGTTTGTTTGTGTGAGTGTGTGTCGGTGTGCGTGTCTGACCTGAAATTCGTAACTCCGGTCCCGTTTTCCTAGAGCTTTCAAACTTGGCAGACGTGGGGCAGGATGGGAGCACTTATTGCGGGCTGCAGTACCGGGCTCCATGCGCACGGGGGGGAGGGGGAGGAGCGTGCGCAATAGAGATTTTGGGCCGCAATTTCATAACTTCTGTCTACGTGGACCTAGAGCGTTGAAATTTGGTAGGATTACTCTTCGAACTAACAGTGGTACCTTAGCATTTTGATAAGTGATGTAGGATGTGAAGTATGGTGGATTCTCGATGACACGAACTGATCATAACTGATAAGAGTAGATAAGGGACCTAAGAGAGGCCACCTACCGATCAAAATCCTAATGTCTTCGGTATATACGATGTACCTTTGACCATTCAGTATTTTTCATTCGATAAGACGGGATGGTGGAGCAGGGTGACAAAAGTGAGTGGTAAAAACAGTGATAGGGACCCATTAGGGCGATACCATAAGCAGATTAGGACTTTGTTCATTTCTTACTATTAGATTACGACCACTACCCAGCAAGGTTTGTGAGTGGATGAAGGATCCTTGCTCGATATCATTTGCGACAAAACTTAATAGACCGCCCGTAACCTGGAATTCTCAACTAATGATATCTCCGTGAAGAAAAAGGTCCATTGATTAAAGGCACCGCTAGCAAAAAATGTAGTTTACCCTTTTTTGACGGGAATTGATAGAACTACTCTAGAATAAAGCGATAACGGGGAAAAATCGCAAAAAAAGACAAACAAAAAGAACTACAAAGGGTCAAAAAAAGAGCTGGAAAGGGGGTTGGACGAGTTTCACATTGAAATAACGGTGGTTAGGAGGTGTTCGGCCAAATTGGCAATTTGCCAGACCAGAGACGCAGTGTGTTGTCTGCAATAGCCGACAACACATTGCGACTCTGGCAATTTGCCAAATTGCACTTCAGGGTGGGTCCTGACGCGATTACATGACGCTGTGTCGTCTCGACACTCGTCTGACGTGACAACAGTCGAGGGGCGGAGATGCGAACTACGTCAACAACGAAGCTGCCACTACGCCCTGGACGTCGAGATTGGGGGAGTGAGAGGGTCCCTTCAACAATCCATGGGGGCCGCTGAGTATTAATAAGGTAAGATCTCAATAACTTTTAGTCGTGAATGGTGCCTTTGAGAGCATTGGATACCAGTGCTATCATCGCTCAGAACATCTCCACAGCATCATCTTTGGTTGTCTAACAGCTGGATTTTTGATGGGTATTTCTTTTTAATAAAGGGAGCAAGAGATCGGGAATTCCAATTAAAGGCGTAAGCACGGACTTTCACTGTATACCATTTGCACCCCTGTTAGTCCTGTGTATTTCGTGCACAGGAAACTATTATTGTTTCAAAAAAGGAGTGGAGAGTTAGCCTACTCAAAACAGCTCTGTCAAAGAAGGAGGGAAGCCCGACGTTCGCCGGGTGAACTGACTATGTGATATGCTACGACGACATAATCTTTTTCAAGCACTGTTTCAGTTTCATACTCTTACTCAGCTAAGTAGTGGGAAATAACTGAAACTCAGCTAAACAGCGAAAAAAACTTAAAATCTTTAAACTTTGAAAAAGGGGAAAGAGAGGTGTACCCTTGCATTCGACTCCCATCCAGA